GACGGGGTGCAGGATCTCGAAGGGGCTCTCGTCTAAGGACAGATGAGTGAGCAAGGCATCCAGGCCCTCATCAGAGCGCCAGGTGGGGGGGTGGAACAGCCAGGGGAGGGGTAGGCAGTGCCAGGGGAGGGGTGGACAGTGCCAGGTGGGGGGTGGGCAGTGCCAGGTGGGGGTGGGTGGTATTAGGGGAGGGGTGGACAGTGCCAGGTGGGGGGTGGACATTGCCAGGTCGGGGGTGGACAGTACCAGGTGAAGAGTGTACACAGTCAGATAAGGGGTGGACACAGCCAGGGGAGGGGTAGGCAGTGCCAGGGGAGGGGTGGACAGTGCCAGGGGAGGGGTGGACACAGCCTGGGAGGCCTGAGTCCTTGGGATGTCCGAAATGCTTTCCTTGTCCGGCTCATTCAGGCCTGTCCTCAGGGACAGCACAAAGGGGAAGGGAGGGGATCATGTCTGGTAAGAGCTGGGGTGAAGACTCAGGATACACGGCAATGAGGACCCCAAACGAGGGGGTGTTTCTAGCTCCCCACTTTTGAGGGGGTAGATATCACAGCTTCTCTGGGTGGTCTGTCCTCTCCAGTCTCCAGCTACATTAGGGGCCTAGGAGGCCGTCAGGGCAGTGAGTTTGCCCTCTTACTGAGGCCAGACACGAGCAAGCCTCCCGCTACCATCCCCCCAAGACCCCTTTGACTTACCCAGGCCTGTCACCAGCCAGAGAGCAGCCACCAGCAATGCTATCTGCAACCAGCACTGTCCCCCCCTGAGCCCCATGGCTAGGCCAAGCATCCCACCGTCCTTCTGTCTGTCCAAGTCCCCACTGTCTGTGCTGGTCTGAGGGAGGCTGCATCTGGCCCCTCCTGCGTGGCCCCCTCTCCTCCCAAACAACTGGTCGGACAAGTTTGGGGGCAGAACCTCAGACTGTGTGGATTTGCCATCACCAGGGAGGGGTCCGACTAAAACAATCAGTTGCTGCCGTCAGGACAAGCCTGGACACCCCCACCCCCTCTCCAGGAAGGCCCAGCCAGGGAGCTGGAATGGGGAGGCAGAGCCGGGGTCCAGGCTGCCGCGGTGACAATCTTGTCACACCCACCCATGGCATCTTCTCAAGTAAACACCCCCATCTGGTAGACAGGGAGTCTCTCCGCACCCTGTGCGGGGCAGGGCAGTGGGGGGAGTTTTCTAGACAAGGCCTGGAAGGATCACCCCACTGCAGCTCGGCCCTGGGAGGAGGGATCCCCAACATCACCCTCCCTCTTCTCCATGTCTAAGTCACCATCAAGGCCTGTCTTCTCTTCCTCTTCCGTTCTAGACAGAGAATCCAGGTAGGACCTTGGAGTAACTGGGCAGCTCATAGACTAACCCCTCTCTCTTGCACTGCAGTCCCCCTTACTGGAGCTTCCTACCTGAAGCTCAGCCCCCCTCAGTCTAGCCTCCCCAAGTGGCCAGAGCCATCCTTCTAAAACTTTCATCTCACCAGGTGTCTTTTGGGAAGTTGAAAGAATAAAATGAACATCCTTATGTATACTTTGTACCCAGATTCAAGAGTTGTTAGTATTTTACCATTTGCTCTGTCTTCCTGTGTAAGAGCTCACCAGTGCGAGCGCCTGTGTGTGTGTCTGTCCATCCGTGCATATTTTACTTCTATCAACAAAAAGTCCACTGAAAGCAAGAATCAGACTGACAGGAGAAATTTGTTTTCTTTTTTTCCCCCATCCTTTTAAAAATATGTAGTTGTTGCTCATTGAGTCAACTCATCAGGTGGTCAGAAGCGGTCAGGGCAGGAATTATTAGTAATCTCATTACACAGACGAGAAAACTGGGTCGCAACAGGGGGAAGAATTGCTCGTAGCCCTTAAGTGGGTCAGCAGGAGAGCTGGAAGTCTACCCTCTTTCCCCTCTGTCACCTGTGTTTAGTCTGGAAGCTGTAGGAACCAATAATTGAGTTACATTTACTTCCTGCTCTGTTGCTGTTAGCTGCCATCAAGTCCAGCAGCCCCAGGAAGCGCAGACCTGAACCCTACCCTGTCCGGCTCCGTCCCCACCGTCTAGCTTCACAGCACACTTCCTTTCTGCTCCGAGCAAGAACCAGCTTCGGTATTGCTTTGTTTCTCTCTGTCTCCATTCCATTCTTTTTTTTTTTTTAATTTTGTGTGCGTGTACCGTCAAATCAAATCTGACTGGTACAGGAGGATATTGCGCCTCCTTCTCCGGCAGAGCATCTGGTGGATTCGAACCGTGTTCCTCTGGGATTGCAGTGCAGCTTCTTGCCACTAGGCCACCAGAGCTCCCCTCCATTCCACTCTTGCAGTCAGTCTGCTGTATGTCCTTGTACCATCTACCACGTACCCCAACACCGCCAGATGAAGACAACAAGCGTTGATCATCTCAAAGTCTCTGAGAATCAGGAACCCAGATGCAGTTGGTTAACGGGATGGTACAAGACCCAGGTCTCACGTGGGTCATAGTCTCTGTTGAGTTGGGCTGCAGGGGGCTCACCGGCTCCTTTTCTAGGGTGGCTCGCTCACATGGCTCATGGCTCAAGCCTGCAGTTTGTTGACAGCTGTTGACAGAAGGCCAAAGACTGTTTGCTACTTGGGTCTAGCCACCAGGCTGAGTGGCGAAAGGCTTACAGCGTGTGATACAGGACAGAGAAAAGCTGTGTCTTTTACGAAGGGAGGAGATTGCCCATCTTTCTCCCATGGAGCAGCTGGTTAGATTATTACATGCCTTTGGCTTGCCAGTGAAACTCCAGAGCTGCCTGGTTACAGCAGAGCAAAGGCCTGGCTGGCTCAGAATGTAAAAAGACACCTCTGGGTGCTGACGGGAGAACAGATGGGGCTCCAGGGCTGGGAGGGCAGGGCTGCCCCCTCAGCAGGAGAGAGGGCAGGAGGGGCCTGGAGACGAGCAGGGAGAGGCCAGGATGATTAATGGGACATTCCTCTCCGTCCCTCCGGGGGGAAAAGTGAGCAAGAAAAATGGTTGTCAAGAGCAACACATTCTTCTTGTGGATAACTGAGGCTGTGTCACCTTCACCCACAGGGTGTGGGGTTTCAGGCGGGCTGGGACTGGAATATCTGAGTCAAAACGAGCTTAAAAGTCTCCCAGGTTGAGGATTCATTTTACAGAGAGGAAACTGAGGCCAAGGGAGGTGGTTAGGTCTGGCAGGGAGATCTCACAGTTGATGAGGGACCAGGGGATGAAACCCTGGGCTCTGGCCTCACTCCTCGCACTCTGTCCCCAGGGTGGGGAACACCCAGGCTGGGATCATAAGGAAAGGAAGAGAGGGCTGCAGGAGAGGGAGCGAGGCACCCCAGGGGGTTTGTCAAGGTGCTGACCACTTCACTCCCACCCTCTGTGGGAGCCTGCATGGGGCCACAGCCCTTGTGGGTACAAGGGTGGGAGGTTTTGTGGACAGTGGGTGTAGACACGTTCCCGCTGCATCTGTGCTAGGCCTGTCCTCTCTAGGGGTGCTGGGGCCGACTCTGTCCTCCACCACCAGCTGGGTGACCTCCCCCGGGTAGCGGCTGGGCCTCCAGTTGGCAGCAGGAGTGAGGTGGGGAGGGTGCTTGCACGTTCCGCTGGGCAGGTCATTGACAGGGGGGACCCAGCCCAGAGACTTCCCTGAGCAGCTGGACAGACAGAGGGTTTGGACCTGACCCTCCGGACAGTGTCCTGCTCCTGGGAGGGGGACACAGCTGATGCCTGAAATCTCCTTGACTAGCAGCTTCCTGGGGTGCTCTCTCCCTCTCCTACGACCCCAGCCTGGATGTCCCCCACTCCTGGGGACAAAGCACAAGGAGTGAAGCCAGAGCCTGGGACAGGAGGGTGTCCTGTGAGTCCAGGGGGTGGGCTTGGCAGTTAGAGATTCCCAGGCATGTGGCCAGGAGCCAGGCAGGCCCATTCTGCTCCCCACTTTAGACCGTGGGTGAGTGTAGAGAGTTGGGGCTCTTTCAAAGAGCCATGTCCCAAGACTTGGGGAGTGAGTTGGGGTCCAAAAATAGAATGAGTGAAGGAAAACCACCATCTCATTCATTGAGTATCTCATATCAGGATCAGGACCTATCAATGGAATTGTGTGCCTTCAAGAGATATACTGACAGCGAGAGGAGAAAGAATTTAAAACAAAATAAATGAGTTATTAAAAAAAAAAAGAAACAGAGTGATGCAGATGTCCCTACCCTGATACCTGTGAATGTGACCTTGTTTGGAAACCAGCTTCTTTGCAGAAGTAAGGTGAGGTCATACTGCAGAAGGGGGGCCTCATCCAGCGTGACTAGCACCTCCTATCAACCACACCTCCTGGATGCCTGAGTGGTCCAGCCCCTGAGGCCCCCAAAGCTCCTCCCCTCTGCCATTGGCCAAGGCACAGATTCTATCTTCTGTCTATTGGTGGTCTCCGTGGCCTACTTGCCTGCATCCTGATGGGGTAAATGAGACGGGGAGGGGAGCTGAAGGGTGGGAGGTGAGGAGTGAGGGCACTGGGTGAAACAACACAGTGACTGAGGGACAGTACTTCCACGATAGCCCCCTCCCTATGATGAGAGCCCCCTCCCTACGATGATAGCCCTCTCCCTACAATGATAACCCTCTCCCTATGATGAAAGCCCCACACCCCACCGCCCTCCCACACCCTAGAGTCATTTTGGTGACATCTCCTCTGGCAGTGTCACAGGGCAGAGGGGTGTAGTCTGCACCCCTGTTACCTCCTTCTGACATCTTGGGAGCAAGGGATGAAGTCCCGGAAGATTGAGAGCAGGGGTGGCAGGTGACTAAGTTTATAACGGGATCCTTCTGGATGCTCTGAGAATGGGTGTGGTCAGGACCAGATATCAGGGGACCAGCCAGGGGGCAGCTTCTGACATCCTGGTGAGAAATCGAGGCCTGGGGATGGTAGCAGTGGTGGAGAGGAGACAGGACTGGAGACTGGGGAGAGATGTGAACGCAGAGGGGGACAGGGAGGGTGGTGCCCTGCTGTCTGCTTCCCGATTCCTTTGATTTGGGGCCTGATGAATCATCATTGACTCATCAGCCCACAATCACGGCTGTTTTTCCTTTTTAACAATGAACTTGTTTTTAACCACTGAGCCATTATGTTCCAGACCAGTGGGTTTCAGAGCTCTTCTCCAAACACAGACCTGGAGGAAATGTAAGAGGCCGTTTAATAAGAGTCTCCACGCCTGGTTACCGCCCTGAGCTGTCACGAGCTGACCTTCATGGGCTTGTGGGCGTCTGGCAGCCCTTTTGAGCGTGACTCTGGGGCAGGACTTCTCAGGACAACCCAGCACAGCTCTGCCCCAGCAGGGACCCACGGCCCGTGAGCACAGCTGGGCCTTGCACCCCCAGCAGGCACAGGGGGGCTTCCAGCTTGCTGGGGTCCTGACTAATGTTCTTGAGGAACCTTGGCTTTAGGACTTCTTTATCTGGGGATCTGCTCTTAAGGAACTGTGAAACACTGTAGAGGGTTTCACAGGCCTGACTCCCGTTTCACACCATAGAGACCTCATTTTGCATTCACACTCTCACTTCAGAAATCATGCTACATCCAAGAAGTCCCAGCTCCTCTGGCCTCCTCCCAAATACTTTTGGAATCCTCCCTCTCATTCTACATCAGCCCTCCTTCCAACACTCTGAAGACCCCCTTCCCCTATTATCCTCTATGCCATCGGGACCTTTACACCTGGCCTCCTTGAGTCTCGCTCTCCCTGCTCCCTCCTTCTTTGCCCCTCTGTCTGACCAACTTTCCGTCTGCTCCCTCCGGAGACCTCCGCTCATACCCCACCCCAGGAACTCCTCGAGCCATGGCTTTGTTGGGTCTCCAGCCCCCTTTAAATGTTCGTCTCCCCAGTGACACTGGGAGGGCAATAGTTACACCGAGAACCGTGGTGGTGAGAATAATGCAGTGGGCTCAGGGAGGCCCTTCAAACGACGTGGGGCTGGGCACTGTCCAGGCACCACAGATTCTGGCCCTGAGAACAAGCCACAGTGGGGACGCAAGAAAGCTGATGGCTGTCCCTGCTCTTAGCTGACCCTTGGGCCCTGAGAAGTTTCCTTCAGCAAACACCAGTGGCTCCCTTCTGCTCCTCCTGACCCTCACGGACCGCCATGCTTGGAGCCAGACCTAGATGGGAGCATGGGACGAGGCAGCCGGTGGTTGGTGCTACTGTCATACTTGACCCTCCAGCAGGCTGTCAAAGACAATAGATCAGTAAATTGTGCTGGAGGAGGTTGTGCAGCTGGTGGATTCGAACTGCATGCCTTTGGGATTGCAGAATAGTTTCTTGTGGCAGGTAGGGAAGGCTTTTAACCCTTCTTACTGATTCCAAGAGTTGAGTGGGACCTGGATTTCAACAGGGCTATTTGTTCAAAGGGTCTCTTATGGTTGAATCTGATTCCTGAGTCTGTCTGTACCTGGACTGTGTTTGCACTTGGAGGGTGGGACTGTAGGCAGGACTAGGGGTGGACACCAGGGTGGGGAGGGTTCCATGCCCTTCCCCTGGAGGTGATATTTCTGGCCAATTTCCTTCTGACTTCACACAGTCTCTGTGAATAGCAGGTTCCTGACCAGGTAACAGGGGAGGGGGCTAGTAGTGAATGCTGTTGATTCAGCCTTATAGTGACCCTAACAGGGCAGGGCAGAAACTCTATAGGTTTTCAAAGGGGTCACCTTTATAGGAGATATGTCTTATTCTGATCCTTTGTGGCAAAATAACATTTTATACAAATAATCTGCCTGCTTTACATTGGACACACAGACAACACAAAGTGGAATGAGAATCCTGGGAATGAAGTGGGAAAGGGGAGGACAGATCAGGTCATTGATGTTTCTTATATTCTGTGAAAAATAGATTTACAAGGAGAAAAATAGACTTTTCCCAACGTCAATGACTTCACATGATCCTCTGTGTAACAAGGGGTAAGCCCAGCCCCCAGATGCTGCTTGAGGCTGAGATGTTCTGTAACATGGAATGTGAGTGACTTGATGGGGGCAGGAGAGGCACGGCAGTCGGACTTGCACACGACAGTGACCGCTGGAGATAATGGGCACTATCAGGCAGGAGCGCCCTGATTTGAACACCAGACACAGCCTACCAAATACACTCATGAATGAGTTTCAGCTCACTGAAAAAATTAAGTTGATGGGTTCCTAACCATTACAAGAATCACCAGTCTAGGGTCAGCCTTATTTATACCTCCCCGCATCATGCGCCAGGGTGAGAATATGCTGGCCCAAGACTGTGGCTGTCTTCAGGAAGTGCAAGGCCTGAAAAGAGCTTCCTCAGCTATGACAATAAGCTAACACACCAGAGGAGGTCTCATGCGAGCCTAGAACTTCCTGTAGATGGTCTCTCTTCACTCTTACAAATGCAGAATGGGATAAACCAGGGTCATCTTTGGAGAAGCAACAAGGTCATCTCAGCCCAAAGATTCGATGTAAAAAGTGGCTGTCTCTTGGGAAATGTGAAGGTGAGGGACAGAGCAAGAGGGGGCTGGCAGCAGGGCCACTGCACAGAGTGGCCAGCCAGTGTTGGGATGCACTTTCTTCTTAAGCTCCTCAGATGCACAGGTAGGTCTCCAGGCTCCTTGCTAACATGCCCCTTACTGATTCAACTTCACAGAAAAGCATCATTTCCAATTCACACCCCAACTCAGGAACAAAAATGTGCCTTTCAAACTCCCTCTGGTGGCACTTCAGAGTGGCAGTCCTTGTCTAGATTTCCTGAGCAGTCGAGACACAGGGGTCCCCAGCCCCAGATCCCAGACCTGTGGAGAGAAAGTGGTAAGTCCCTGTCCTTCTAGGCACAGACTCCAGTGAGAATAAGGGCCAAAGGGGAGGAGGATTTGGGGCAACTCAAGCCAACGTGGGTGCTGCTCCTTCCAATTTCCTGTTCCTCTTCCTGACCAAAGCTAACACTACAGATGGAAGGAAGCCATTCAAGATTCAAGACACACATCCAAAATACACGCTGGGCTGCTCGAGATCACATCTTGGTAAATATTTCAATGTCAAATAGCAGAACCTCTCCCAGTTGGGCTCAGTCAAGGGCAGAAGGGACCTTTCAGAACACAAATCCTAGAAGAGGCTCTAACAGGAGAAATGCAAGGTGAGGAGACAGTGCTGGCATCTGTCCAGAGTAGGGAATGACCTTTGTGCCACTTTCCCAGTAGCACCCACGGCAGAGCCACACGTAAGGCACCTGGACGTGGAGTCGATTCACCAGCTCTGGTCAGAAGCAACCTTCCTGCAGGGCACAGCTTTTGGATCCAGGGCCGGGACATAGGGGTAATCTGAGCGCCTTTTCCACGAGGGAGCTGAACAAACAGCACGCCTGTGGGTTGGCACTGGGCCGAGGTTCAAGCGTTCAGTCTTAGAATCCACACAAGAACACTGGGCTCTGAGGGCAGGGTCAGCCCAGCGGCCTTGAGGCACATGTGGCCACCTCTTCCAAGCATCTCAGAAGGAGATACGTCTTTTTGCCACAAAACTTTCAGGTGAGTTTAAACCGGTCTTTTTTTTTTTTTAAATGTATTTATTTTTTATTTTATTAGCAGCTGAGAAACCAGCAGGTGACACAATTGGGTAATAAGATGGGAGGAAGGTGCAGGCAGCCCCAGGCTGGTGACAGGAGCTAAGCAGGTGGAATTGGATAAGACATGCTTCCTGCTGTGAAAGGTCCCCTCTCAGAAGCAGCGGGTGGACTAAGGGGGACACAGCCAGACTGCATTTATTCACTTTGGAAGAAGGGGTCAGTGTGCTAGTCATGGCTGGGCACTCTCTATGGGAGCTGGGGGCTGCAGACTGGAGGCCAGGGTGGGACTAGAGGGCTGGGTGGGGTACAGTCCAGGGGACAAGGGAGTGGCAGTGGGCAGTCATTGAGCCTTGGTTTCTCTCAGGCTGCAGCTGTCAGTTTGCATGGCTCACAATGTGCCTGTCGGCAGAAATGGCTCTCTTGACCCTCTGGCCTGGCCACAGTCAGGAGCCTGGACCTCTCTGGACCGACAGGGCACCCCCACCCGCGACGGGCAGCAGCTGCAGCGGCGTATTGGCGCCCCCGTGCGGCCATGCTGGGAAGCACGGGCCTGGAGGATCAACAGACACTTGGGGAATTGGAGCTTGAAGCTTGGTACGCCCTGGGTTTGAGGTGCTTAGGGGTCCCGCTAAGGGCACTTGTGAACCCCAGAGATCCCACTGGGGTGATTGTCTGAGGGAGTATGCGCCTGCAGGTATGTGGCAATTTGTCACATACAAAGTCCCAGAACAGTAACAGGCCACTTTTGGATATGTGGTCCTCATAGGTGCAGAGTGATGAGGCCAGGCCCTGCTCTGCAGCCCCCACGTGTCATCCTGTGTCTGCCACGCAGCAGGCTCTCCACGAGGGCAGAGCGGGTGGACAAGTGTGGGCAGCAAGGTTGGAAGCTGTGGTCTGACTGTGTAAGAATCAGCAACCAGGGGTCCTAAGAGTGTCCATTCTGTCTAACCGTAGGCGCAGGAAGCCCCCCTCAGCCTCACCAAGAAAACCTCAGAGAAACTGAGGGAAGTTCAGACCTTCTTGTGTGGGTGTGATGGGCCCAACCACAGGGCAGAACAAAATCGTCTGTGAGCTTCTCTGGAAGCCTGAAAAATTCCGGGGAGGGCCACCTTGCATGTGAAGTCCACCTTCACTTACTAAAGGTTAGATAGAACAGAGGTGAGCCTCAAGGTAGGCCTCTAGGCGCTCAGCCTGAACAAATTCAACCCTACTCTCCTGACTTGGGCTCCCAGAGACCTGAGGGTGATGGAAGCCCAAGGCAGGGCACTACTGGGGGGCTTTCAGGCAGCTGGGGGAGAGTAATAGGGGAGAGGCAAGAAGCTGGGAAGGGGTGCACGTCCTGGGGTTGTGGGTGAGCACTCCATACTCCCTACCCCCACCCGCTTCAGGCTTCAGTTATACATGGCCCCACTAAGGGCTCAGGCTGGGGAGGGGGTCCAGGCTGGGCTCACAGCCCACAGGCAGCGTGGTGGCCTCGCTGGGTGGGATGTGGTGGGTCGTGTAGCGCTTCCCCATGAAGGAACCAATCCGCAGTGGTTCTGGGCCCTCCTCCGGCAACCAGAGTCTGGAGCTGTGGGGAAGGGGAGAGTGGAGTCAATCTACCAAGCCTTCCTCCTCCAATAGACCTTTCATCCGGTAGCTTCACCTTATCTCCCTTCTAGAACCTTCTAGGCTCCTGACTACCACCCTACACCAAGTCACTACAACCATAGAGTAGAAAAACGAGGCCTGACAAGAGAAGCCATGGACACAAGGAATGGCAACAACTTCAGGCATCCCTGACTCCTGTCCCCAGAACTACTGGGCCACCTCCAGAGGCAAGGTGTGAAGTAAAGAGAGTTCTCATCCTGGGGGCCTTGCCCCCAACCCCCCTGGGAATGGAGGCCCTGGCTTTGTGGTGTGGGAGGAGACTCCAGCAAGCCTGGGAGGGGTCTGTCTGTGGACAGGCGGTGGGCCACTCACAAGCGTATGGTGGAGGCAACCAGGAAGGCCAGGAGCAGGAGGCCAGCCAGAGAAGAGAGGATGGAGGTGATGACAATCATGCCGCCACTTCGACGTCCTGGCCACGTGTCGATGGAGCCTGGACCTTTCCCTGCACACACAACACTGCTCGGCCAACATCATTCCTGCCTGTCCACGCAGGAGCCTATGCAGCCAGCCTCTGGCCCCATTCAGGCTGACCACCAGGCCCTGGCTGTCCCCAGGAAGTGCCCTTTTCCTGCTCAATCTATGGTAGCAAAGTGGCTGATTGCCTCAGGTCTGAGGGTCGCTTTGGGGTCTTGAGAAGACAACCCCACTTGCTCCCTGCCCCACTCGGGCACTGAAGGTCCTCCTCCCCACTTCTTGGAATACTGCTCAAGGAGGCCTCCCGGTCTCCCGTCAGAGCATGGCTCCAGGGCTGGGACGGGGCCCCCAGAGGCTGGTAGCCCTTGGGGATGGGAATGACCCAGTGTCCACCCAGTACTCCAAGATACAATTGGGTGGGCTGGATTCTGGCACTGCCTTCAGACTCCTACCCCATGAGAGCAGGGAGGTCAGCTGAGCTGGCCCATTTTGCAGAAGGTGACAGTCTGGCCCATAGAGTCCCAGATTCTTCAAGGGTGGGAAAGATCCCCAGACTACCTTGGTGAAGAGCAATGGGATCCGACCACTTTGTCTCAGCCCGGGGCGAGCCCCTAGTGTCCGTCAGGAGGAACTTCACGCTGGGGGAGGAGGCAGAGGAGGGAGATTCTAATGCCGCAGCCACTGAGGAGGGTGCCCCTCACCAGCCCGCAGACCTCTTCAGTGCCAGGACCCTGGTTGAGGTTTGTTTGAGGTAAGAGGACAGGGGAGGGGGGGTGTCTCTCGCTGGGGCATCGTTACCAATCAAGGCCTGGCTCTGCTCCCACCTGTCTGATCATAGCGACCCCCTGCCCCGCCCCAATCCTCTCCTGAGCTGGCTACATAGGTTTAGGGTTAGCTTGCAACTAACCCAAACTGCAGAGAAGAGAGGCAAGGGGCCACCTGGGATGGGGCGGGGTCGAGAGAGGGCGTGGCCAACTGGGGGCGTGGTCACCCGAAGGGCGGGATCACTCTGAGGGAGTCTGAGAGGGCGTGGTCAGTGGAAGGGCGGGGCCAGAGAGGGTGAGACCAGTATAAGGGGCGTGGTTGGCGGAAGAGGGGTGTGGTCCTGATTGTGGGGCGTGGTCGCGTGGAGGGGCGGGGCAAACAGCGGGAACCCAGGAGGGGCATAGGTAGGATTTCATCCTTGCACAGCATGGAGGGTTATGGAAAGTTTGTGGACTTCAAAGGACTCAGGTTGACTATGAGGGAAGCTGGCTCTGGCGGCTGCAGGGACTAGGGGCAGGGTGGAGAGATGGGAGGCTGAGCCAGGATGTGGCCATGGTGATGAGAGGGCAGCGGCCCTGCTGACCACGTGGATGGAGGGGGTGCCTGAGCTCCACTGCCGCCCTGCACTGCCTCCTTCCGAGGTTCGCGCTGGGCTGCCATAGGTCTCCAAGCGCCAGTAAAACCTTAGTTTGGACACCTGCTTTCACATCCAGGCTCTAACCTTCACCTTGATAGGCCACCGACTCTGCATCCCCCACTCCTTATACCCCACGTTGCTGTGCGGGAACTAAGCCTAGCCAGCCTGCCTTCTGGAAGAGCTGCTGGGGGACGAGGGGGCCATGGTTGCAGTTGTTGAGCCCCTCCGGACTCTGGCACCCTCGTCTACTTTTGCAAAAGACTATTCTGTCTACCGCCCCGCTGGGATACCCCTTATAAGAAGCATGAGACTGGAGGGAACTCTGGTGGCCTAGTGGCAAGAAGCTGCACTGCAATCCCAGAGGCAAGTGGTTCAAATCCACCAGATACTCTGCTGGAGAAAGAGGAGCAATCTCCTCCTGTACAAGTCACACACACAAAATTTCTTTTTTAAAAAAGCATGAGACCAAGGTGTGTAAACCAAGGGCCAGCACCCACTTTGAAGCAGGGAAAGGTGGGGCCAGGAAGGGGTGAGACAGCTAGGTAAGAGGTGAGGTGGGCAGCCCTTTTGTCCCAAGCTCAGTCGCAATCCCAGATTCTCTGTGGGGGGACCCACCTGTAAGGCCCGGGGCCAGGGAGGGGGGCATTGCAGAAGGGCGGCTGGTAGGGGTCAGCCAGGCACCCAGTGTCGTTGCCCACCCGCAGCAGGGTGATATTGCCGCCACCCTCCACTGGGTCTGTGCAGGCCAGATGGACCAGAGCCAGGGGCATCGTCATATAGTAGCCATCAGTCAGCAGCCGGGGGAAGGAGGGGATCTTAGCCAGTGACCTTGGGTTCTGGAAGTTCCTGGAGGCTGCAAGATGGAAGGACAGAGAGATGGGGGTGGGAGTAAGAGGCAGTGCCTGGGGTCAATTCTTAGGGCTCCAGCCCTGGCTCTTGCTACCACCTCACCACATAGACACAGTTCAGACTTTATCACCCTCTGAGGGCCCCTCAGGATGGAGCCCTGCTTCCCAGCCCCCCTTAGCCCCCAAAGCAAACAGGTCAGCCTCTGCCTTTTTGTCCTCCAGGCTCTGATGTCCCGGCTCCTCCTTCAAGCCCAGTCATACATCACCAGCCCATGGAATGTTCCCCCTGCTGCTCCCTCCACCACCACAGCACAGCCGGCCATTGCAGCCAGGGCTGTGTCTGAGCCAGTCATGTGCTCATGGAGCCCTGGGAAGCACTCAGGTTGAAGGAATTGTGAGTGTTGACCTGGGTGTCTAGGACCCTTTCCCTGATCCTAGACCTCCACCCCTCGCTCAAGTCCCAGACCTGCATTACCCACCATTGCTGAAGGCCACCACTAGCCAGACGATATCAGTAGCATTGGTATGGCCGTTGAAGACACAGCGTGGCTGTTCCAGGGAGAAGGTGGTGGCTGTGACCTTCCCCTCCATGTCCCAGGCTGTTATCTGTGGCATGTAGGGGATCAGCTCTGGCCGTGGGGGAACAAGAGTAAATTGGTGGTGAAAAGCAAAGGACGTCTGTGGCTGGGGGCTGCCTCTCCCAATGGGGGTGGGCTCCCAAAGTCCGAACTTGAGCAGGTGCCCCAGACCCACCGATCCCGGCACCCTACTTACCCAGGCTCCTGCAGGGCCAGAGCCAGCTCAGCACCAAAAGCAGCCATGGGTGAGGCCACCTCTGGGGACTCCCCATGCCGGCCAGCCAGCACATCCGAAGCCTGGGAGGGGCCTGTGGTGACTCTCAGGGGCCAGGGCAGCCTCCAGTCCCTCCACCCCCACCCCAGATGAGCTGGTTAGTCCAGCTGCCAGGCTGGTCTTAGGCTGGAAAGACCTGTAAGGAAATGTCTGATCCCTCAGCAGCCTGGCCCACGAAGGGGAGTGGGCATGTCTGGGGCTCTGGTGTGGGGCAGGTCAGTGCTAGACTCTGCCACTCGAGTAACCCCTCGATGCCAGCCTGGCTACCCTTGCACCCAGCCTGGGGAGGAGGGGCCAGTCTGTGCAAACATTGGTCAGGCTGCGTGCCTGAGATTCCGGTGCCCCATGTACCAGGCTACCAGGCACCTCCTTTAACCGCCTATCCCCACCCACCTAGGGGATGGGGAGGAGTGGGGCATGGACACGGGAGTGGAGGAAACCGAGGGGCCAGGGATCCCTACTCTGTCACTCTAGCCCCGTCACGAGGCCATGCCAATCCCCTCTGCCACCCTCACTCAGTTCCCTTGTCCAGAAAAGCCCTCCTTGACAGCTGACAAGCCCTCTTCTTTTGGTTTTGTGGATGTTACTTTATTGAGATATAATTCACACATCATTAAAAAATCCTTTTAAAGCAAACAGTCTGCTGGCTTTTATTTAATATAAAGCAGGGTTCTACAATTATCACCGCTATAGATTTCCAGAACATTTTCATCTCCCCAATAGACTGCCACCCTTTGCCTGTGGGGTTTCCTATTATGGGCATCTCTTAACAAGCTCCCACTCTTTGCAATTCCACAGACTCACAACTGACCCTCCAGTGGGTTTTGGGGGACCGTGCGTCATCTGTGTAGGGACTGCCCCTATTTCTCTCCAGGAGCCCACCTGCCTTTGGGTATCATCGCGACGTCCTCCAGACTCCATGATGACATGCAGGCAGTCTCCGGTTATGAACAAGGTAAATCCTTGTGTGTCTTTTAAGTTTTGGCTGTTGGAACAGGTACACGTGGTTCTTATTTTTACCAGGAAATGGAGCCCTGGTAGCCAAGTGTGTTATGATGTTGGACAGCTAACGGAAATGTCAGTGGTGTGAGTCCACCACTTCAGAGAAGGACGGTCTTTCTCCATGAAGATTTACAGTCTCAGGAACCCGACAGCCACTAGCCAGGCGTTAGAACAGACTCATGACCAAGGGGCCTGGCTTCTGGTTTTAGTGCCAGAGAAGACTCAAAGCCTTTTCAATGGTGTAAAGGCTCACAAGGAGCAAATGAAGGCAGATTTTGATATTTGTTACAAGTAGTTTAATATTAAAAGCCATCACAGTTGTATGTAAGTCAAGTGTTAGTAACCAGGGATGCCTGTACACAGTACACAGTGTGTGGCCTGTGTACCGGGCGTGTGCGTAGGTTTGTTTGCAGAATTCATCCGTATTGCAGAATGGGTCTGTATTTACATTTTTTGGGTTGCAAGATGGGTCAGTATTTAATTTAAAGAGTGAAAAATACCACTCTGTGGACTACAATCTGCCTTACCCAAACTCTCTTCTATTTTCAGTCACCTCATGCGCATGAGAGCTGGCCAATGAGTAAGAATTAATGCTGGGGAAAATCACCAAATGCACTGCCAGAAGCAAGCAGTCTGTCTTGATGTACAGACAGGTTCTCCTAGGAGGCAAAGATGACAAGACTTTGTCTCACAGACTCTGGTCATGTTACCAGGACAGGCCAGTCCTTGGGGAAGAACACCATGCTGAGTAGAAGGTAAGAGAAAAACAAATGCACTGTTGTAGTCAAACAGCAGTCTTTGAGCCTTTTCTTGCTCTGAAAGCAGAGAGTTTTAGAAAAAAGGTAGAAGTTGGCAAACTGGAGACACATTGGCACCTGGACAGGCACTGCAGTGGTCTACATTTCAAGGGTGTGAGATTTTCACCAGCTGCTGTAAGCAAAGGCTACTGGCTCCACAGCAAGAGATGCATGCCAGAAGTTACAAGGGCTTTGTAAAGCTCTCTCCTTAACGTCATCCTTTCTACTCCCTGACCTCCTGGAATATCTAAGCGAAGGCAATCTTCCTGGATCAGGTCACCCACTCTCCCCACAAACATCTGTTAACAAAGAATTCCTCACACATGTCACACCCTTGCTCCTTTGAGTTACAAGTAGTTAAAGCTTTTATAAGAAGCTAAATTCTCGGCCTAGTGGCAAGAAGCTGCACTACAATCCCAAAGGTATATGGTTTGAATCCACCAGATGCTCTGCTGGAGAAGGAGGGGTAATCTCCTCCCGTACCAGTCAGATCTGATTTGACGGCACACACAAAAATTAATAAAATTTTTAAAAAAGAAGCTAAATTCTCTTGAATTGAATGAGAATGTTGGTGACAGGCTCTCTTAAGAGGGCCCAGCAGCGTCAGAACTGAGGACGGTGTCAGATCAGCCCTGTGCCAGCCCAGCCCTGGCCCCCACCTTAGTCTGTGTCCTTGGGTGGATACTGTACCTTCCATCTCATTTTCTTCACCTGTGTAAAGGAGACAGCAGTCCTGTGTGAACATGTCAACTAGAACCCTGGCTTTTGTAAACCAGAACCATGAGGGTAAATGTAGGGCTGTTCCAGGATGTGGATGTGGCAGGGTTGCTGCCCTGGACCCTGGGGGTGCCAGGGAAACAGCAGAGGCTCATTCAGGGCTGTTGTCTCCCCACCTCAGTGTCTTCACTTATCCAACAGGCGCTAAAAAGCCTGTAGGAATTCACCCTGCTCCGATGCTGTTTACGGGGTGGGTGGGTGTGTGGGTGTGTGTGTGTGTGTGTGTGTGTGTGTGTGTGTGTGTGTGTGTGTACTGTAGGACAGGAGTGTGCTGAGGTCCACATGGGGTCCGAAAATCTGTCTCTTTCACACACACACACACACACGCGCGTGCGCACGCCTGTCTACTGACAAACACCAGGGCTACTGGCTTTGGCTATTTGGGCATTTATTGCAAACAGAAAATATGAGGTATAAGAAGCCGATCCAGAACCCAAGCCCACCCCTGGCTGGGGATGCGGCGATCTCTTTTCACCCTGTGCCGGGCCCACAGCAACCCTCTGAGGCCAGAGGGGACCGTGCACTGAGGTAGCTGCATCTTACAACCTGCCCCTTCAAGTACAACTCCCGGGGCTCCCCAATTCCCACACCGATCGTGCTGGAAGGGAGGAGGAGGGAAGGAGGCGGCCAGCACGGCCTGGCATTGGGACAGTACACCCAGAAACGGAGCCAACATCCTAGCCTCGAGGCAAAGGCACCTTCCTGCCTGCCGGCCCATCCAGGTCAGCGACAGGGCATGGACAGCTGTGGGCACAGGGCGGAGATGGCCAGGCCAGAAGGTCACTGCTGCTGCAGGCAGTCCTCGGTTACCCCCTGGGCTGCCAGTTCAGCCAGCACGTTCTGCAGGTAGTTAGGGTCCGGGTAGCCGTGGCCGGTCACGTTTCGGTCCATCTCTGTCTTGTGGTGGATCTCATTCCACACCACTGTGTCCGTCTCACCGGTGGTGCTGGATGTCCCTATCGTGAAGATCAGTCGCCTCTTCCAGGCCACCCTCAGGAGCTCCAGGACCTGCCCAGGAAGGGAGGGTGGACCAGGTGAACGAGTGCCCAGCCTGAGCTTGCAGCTGGTCACCCTGCCTACCTGACACCAACCCCAGAGCTCACTCTCAGATGCACGAGATGGAATTCGTGGTTCCACCCACACCTGCCCCACCCACCCTCCTCCTCCCACATCAGAAAGCGACACTGGAGTCCACGCCAGGAGCCACCCCGACTCTGCTCCGCTCCCACAGTCCGAGGTGGCAGCTGCCTTCTCAGGCTGCTCAGTCCGATCAGACCTCCAGGCCTCTGCATCCCCACCTCTGCCTATGCTCCAGCCAGCCCCACCACAGCCAGCAAGGCTCCAGTTTCTCTGCTGACCCTGCTCCCTGACCCACAAGGCTTCACAAAGAGTAAAACCCACACCCCCATTCCCTGGCACTCGGGGCTGCAGGCCCGGCCGGCCTTCACCTCCCACACCCACCACGCTTCACCTCCAGCTCTTCGCATACTCCAGGCTCACTCCCATCCCAAAGGCTCCTTGTTAACTGTCTTCTCTGCCTGGAATGTTCTTCCCTGAACTTTTCACAGTGAGAAACTCTCCAATGAGCTCCAGTCCACACTCCTCAGGCATCCTGCCTCTCCCCACCCCTCAGCCCTCCTCCCCACCCTGTCTTGCTGCTAGGACTCATAGAGGAGCACAGGCCCTACCCAGCAAGATTCTGGAAGACTCTTTCCCTTCCTCCAGAAACCTCCCTCCGCCCCCATGAAGTCCAGCTTATCTGTTGTTGTTATGTGCCACTGAGTCATTTGCGACTCATAGCGACCCTATGTACAAGAGCCCTAAACAATGTTCTATCCTGTGCCAACCTTGCTGTCTCAAACACATTCATTCCCATCACTCCACTCACAGAATCTATCCACCTCATCGAGGGTCTTCCTCTCCTGTGCCATCCCTCCACTCTCCCAAACATTGATGTCCCTCTCCAAGGACCAGTCCCTCCTTGCAACATGTCCAAAGTATGTCAGACGAAGCTTCAGAATCCTTGACTCCAGGGAACATTCTGGCTTCACCCTCTTCAGGACAAACCTGTTTGTTCTCCTAGCAGTTCATGGTATATTCAACACTCTTCTCCAGCACCACAGCTCAAAGGCATCAATTCTCTTTCTATCATCCCTATTCACTGTCCAACTCTCCAATGCACAGCACATAACTGCAAAGACTATAGCCTGGATCAGGTGCACCTTAGTCTCCAGCCTGACGTTGTTGCACTTCAGTACTCTTGAGAGGTCCCTCACAGCTGACCTTCCCAATGCAATCGTCTCCTGATTTCCTGGCTTCTGTTACCAAGAGTGTTGACTGTGGAGCCAAGTAAACTAAAACTGTTAACTATGTCAATCTCTTCACCATCCATACTGATGCTGCCAATTGGCCCTGTGGTGAGAATCTTTGATACTGAGCTTCAGTTGGACTGAATTGTATCCCCCAAAATGAGAAAGTACAGTCCTCTGCCCTGGAACCTGAGTATCAGGAAATTCAACATACAGTCACACTAGGGGACATGTCTCAATTTAATCTGAATGGCTGCTCAGAAGGGGAGAAGAGATAAGAGGCAGAGAGGAAGGTCAAGTGCACGGAAATGCCCGGTACCACAAGGCAGCTGGAAGACAAAGAAGGATCTTCCCCTGCAGGCTAGACCTCAGTGGGAAGTTTCTGGGGGTGGACACTATACACTCTCTGTCCCCACACCCAGACCCTATCATCTTACAGCAGAGAGGGAGGCAGGAGGCCAAGGGCAGGCTCTACCCTTCCTACAACCCAGCCTGCTCTACAGAAAGGCGGCCCTTGCCCATTAGCCAGAGCTGACCGCCCACTCGCCACAGGGAGGCAGGCGGCTGGGCCTTACCTTGCGGCCCTGGGCGTTGTCCGGAAGGTAGCACTGGCGGGGGAACCCTCTGGCAGTGAATGGTTTTCCAGGGTTGGGATGCTCAGGGCCCTGCAAGAACACAGAGATCAGGAATGGGAGGACCGAAGAGAGCCCCGTCCTTCCTGGATGAGGGGGGACATGGGACATGGACGTCTAGCACCAACCTGACCCTCACCATCCTGGATGAGGGGGACACGGACGTCTAGCCCCGACGCCCACCTTCCTGGATGAGGGGGACACAGACGTCTAACCCCAACCCCCACCTTCCTGGCACGAGCCTATTTTACCACTGTAGGAACCACAGAAATCATCATCTAAAGACTTCACCTAAGCCTTACCTCCCACCCACAATCAACCGTCCCCTAACACTGGACGTAAGCATCTTCCCAGCACTGGGCTCTGTGGACAGAGTGAGGAACACCCTCCCCTCTCCACACAGCTGTTCCTGGCCCTGAGTGCCACCTGGGGCCGGGGGGGGGGCAAAGACAGCAGCAAACCAGGAAGGATGAGGGGCTAGCAATGCTCCCTGCCCTGTGCCACACCTGTGACATGCCCCCATGTCACTCACACCCCATTCCATCACCTCCCACTCTGGGCTCTGACCCTGTCTGAAATGTGTGGACGCAACCAGGGTGCCCATCGGCAGAGGAATGGACAGTGCGGGGCTTGGGATGGAACACTGGCCAGCCGGCGGGAGAGAGGGAGCCGTGACACATGCTGGAGTATGGATGGAGTGGGCATGATGTGGAGCACAGTGAGCTCATCACAGCCGGACAAAGGGCTCACGAAGCCCCTGCCGTCAAGTCCAGTCCGGCTCACAGAGCCCCTCATCGGGTTTTACACCTTTCCGAGAGGAGACGGCCTGTCCCTCATGTGGAGCAGCGGATGGAATCAAACTACCAGCCTTTAGGTTAGCAGCCCCCGCGTTACACACCACCCTAAGTACTGCCTGGTCTCACGTGTATAAAAAAGGAAAACTCCTGCGACTAAAGTTTATCCAATGGTTACCAGGAGTGGGAGGAGGGGAAACAGGGGTTCACAGTGATGAAAAGTACACCCAAGAAGGGCACCCCCACTCCGTTCTTGTAAGTGCTGTCAGAAAGCTGTACACTGTACACTGAGACTGGCAGAGGTGTGGGACACGCATGTTTACAGTGACAACAGAAGAAAGTGCTGCTGAGGCTTGTGTCTGTACAACACACAACCTCCCTGGTGTGGAGGCCTCATTTCAGAGGGTCATGAGTTCATGGAGAGTTAACTGATCTAATAACACATTTAGTGTTACCGTCCTATCTTCCAGTTTGCTGCATATTGCCTTAAGAGCCTGCAGGCAAGAGAGCTCTGGTGGCCTACTAACAAGAAGCTGCGCTGCAATCCTGAAGACACACGGTTCGAATCCACCAGATGCTACGCTCGAGAAGGAGGGGCAATCTCCTCCTGTGCCGGTCAGTTCTGATTCGACGGTACACAACAAGATAAAAAAAAAAAGCTCGCAGGCAGCTAATCAAAACAAAACAACTGATTTCTATTCAGTTGAGGGAACAGGAGGTGAGGAGAATCAGAACGAGGAGGATATGGACTGTGGGGCTAAATGGCCATGTGAACTGGTGCCTTGGTGAGAGCAGAACTGGATGGAACTTGGCTACAGTTACTCTATAACTGAATATTTTGTTCAAAGATTTTACAGAAAAATCTTAATCAAAAGAGGGAAACTATAGGCTGAATCTCATATTCTCATAAACTCTACTTTCTGGCACTATGGAAGGTGAATGAGCCCTGTAACTGTTTCCTGAGATAATCTTTAAACCTTCAACCAAACATCCCCTGAAGTTTTCTTAAAACTGAACAGGAGTTCAGTTAAAGGAGTTGGGCTGTCAACCCCAAAACATGTCGTTCAAACCCACCAACTGCTCCCAGGGGAAAAGACAGGTGATTTACAGCCTCTGAAAACCTGCTGGAGGTCAGCTGCGAGTCAGTTCTGACAGCGGCACACAATAATAGAGACACAAAGGTCCTCCTGGAGCTTTGTGCTGAGAGCTACCAACGGGGCCATCAACCCAACACAGCAACCTGAAAGATCAGGAATTTTAGGGAGCATCGGGTTGTGTTAATGAGGGAGGGATACTCATAGAAACTGTACTATTGGCGTGTGTTTTGTTGTGTATTCTTGGCAACAAAATGAATAAAGTTGAGGGGAAAATAAAAACAAAGCAGGGGTGCTGCCAGCCCTGCAGCGGGCACCTCCTCCTCCCATGCTCCCTGGCGGTGCAGTTACCAGCTCAGCATTCTTCCTGCTGTGTTCACAGTCTGTTGCCCAACACAAGTGCAGCTACCTCCTCCAGGAAGATGCTCCTGGCTCAGAAACCAGCTAGAATCATCTCTGCTTCCCCAACGCTGTGAGCCTGCCCCATCCTAATTACTCTCCTTGCCCTCCCTGGCCCAGGCCTTAAGCGGAGCTGGGTCAGACCCTGGGTGTGTGAGCCTCTCCTGGCTATCAGGGGACAGACTGCAGGGCACGGGGGGGAGGAAAGGCTGGAGTGGGTTCCTGTGGGGAGAGGCCACCCTTACCTGGATGCCATGAGGAATGTTGTAAACGATGAGGATCGTCCCACAATCGGCATGGCCAGGGAGTGACCCCTGGAACGTGTACACCTCCATCTTCCCCTGGGGCTGCGTCCCAGTCTTCTCTCCATAGATGGTTTTGCAGGAAGGACACTGCAAGCTTCCATCCTGAAACACGGTGAATAGCAAGAGACTGAGCCGTGGGGCCCTGAGAGCACTGGGTAGCCACCGTCTTGAAGGGCAGGTGATACCAATTCAGGAGGGGACTGGACAACACAGCCTCAGAATTCCTGCAGGCCGCACTCACAGAGGTGCCACCCTGACAGCTTCTCTGTAAACACGTATTTGCCATCAGAAGCTCACAGGAAATTTCAGGAAATGGATGAGATCAGGTAGGAAACCCATGTTGATTTTAAGTCTCTAATAAATTTACAATCAATGAGAACACTCAGATGGATCTTGTGTTGGCATGGCGCCTTGGCTGGCAGAGGACAGCACAGGGACGTTACAGATGGACCACACCTGATGAGAAGTGAGACTGTGTGACTTGGTTTTCTGTGTCCCTATAACCTCTGTCCATCCTGGCTCAATCCCACACTAGTGGAACAGCCAGATGCATGTACTGAGGGCCTGACGGCATGGTCTCAGGATGCCCCAGGAGGAGGTTTCCACGCCAGCTCTATGGCCGTGTCTTCTGCTGACTCCTCCCCCTCCCAGCGGCTGAGAGCACAGAAAGCCCCTCAGACACCACAGGCCTGAAGGCAGGGCTGTGCAGACCCTCCGCCCTCCAGCACATGAGCACCTTATTGCCATTGCAGTACATCGCCAGCAAGCAGAGCAGGTGGAAGGCGTGGCTGCACTTGGAGAGGCGGCCTACAGCCAAGGGCCCGATGGTCTTGCTGTCAGTCACGTCGCTGTACCCAGACACCACGGACAGCTTCTCCATACAGATGATGCAGTCCTAGAGAGAGCAACACAGGGCGTACTCACTAATGGCTTGTTTGGTAGGAAGTGAACTTCATGGGCTGAAATGCCAGAATCACAGTGAAAGCCGTAAGAGTCGCTGGTTCCAGAGGGTGGTAACAGCAACGAGTCCCCCAGGAGCTGGGCACTCAAAGGGTTCACCACTGAACAGACATCAGAGTCACAACCCAGAGGCCAGTACAAGGTAGCAGCAGGGCTTGAACAGCAGGGGAAGAGGCAAACGTGGAGGGAAGGGTAGAGTCAGTCTTGCTTCTCCCACAGGCAGGCAACACTTGGCAGGCCGCCTGGCCTGATGTCAGGCCCTCCAGGGGGAGGGAAGAGAATGAGTGGATGCTTAGAGCCCAGAAGAGTAAGTGAAGTGGGCTGACAGAGGTGTAAGAGACGGAGGTAAAAGAGACCCAGATACTGGAAGGTTCTGCCTCTCACACTCAGGAGTGGGCTTTATCTTCCAAGTCCTGCTCAGGGTCCAGGGCCAGGAGGAGCACCATGATCGCATCTGTGTGTTCAGAGGACCAGAAGGCGAAGAGCGAAGAGTCAGCTGTGCCTGCTGAGCACAGGGCAGAGGTAGGAGGCAGGAGACAGACAAGGGCGGCAGGGCTGAAGGACAGATGGGACCTGGTGAGAAGGCAGGACATCTGAAGAACACCTCCGATCTCGGGCCAAACCTTCATTAACCTGACTCGAAGTCTCCTGTGCACTTAATCTGCGGCACATAGGGCAGTGAGAGGCCTGCCTGGCTCTGAACCAAATCCCCTGACAATTCTGAAGACTTCCTACTCCAAACAGTTCAGTGGTGCTGTGACCCCAGCTAGGGCTCAAGTTCTACTGGTGGGCCCTGCTGACCACAGAAATCCTGATCAGCTCTCCCAAGCAGCCCGAGGGGGCAGGACTGTGGACACGCCTAGCATGCTTCTGCAGCAGGGTCCACCTGTACTCGTCATCGCCAGGACCTCACCTGAGAAGGCTTGGGAAGGGTTATGGAGGGGTCCACGGGAGAGTGGATGTCACGGGGCTGAACACTGCTGCCTGCTGGGCAAAGCTACAGCTGGAACACAGGACTCTGGGGTCGTGGCTACCCATTTGGTAAAGTCCACCTCCTGAGGTGCTTGGAAAGTACAGTAGGTGTGGGTGGGCCTCAGCCCTGGGGGGTCCTTGGAGAGTGCTCACTGTGGCTTCCCAGACCCCTTCTGTGGCACGTACCTCATCCGGAGGAGTTCTCAGCTCTTCAGTGTAGTTTTTTATCACCTGTTCCGGCTCTGGCTTTGGTGTCCCTCCTAGGAGAGAGATCAGTGGAGTACTCATGAGGACAAACCAGAGAGAGTGATGGCAGAGAGGAAGAAGACAGGGGGAGGTCCAAGGCAGCTGCCAGGAGGAAATGTTAGGGGAGTCAAAGATGAGGAAAGTTAGCGTGCGAGAGAAGAGAAGCTTTGCACCACTGCAAATGCTCCAGACCGCTGCCCAGTCAGACGTGTCCAGGCCCACCTTTTGGGGTCCAGGCAGGCCCAGGAACCCCCTCAGGCTCTCAGAAGCTATAGCTGGCGCCTAGTCAGGACACAGACCAAGGCCCGCTAGAGGGCTCCCAAAAGTATGAAAAACGCAACTGCTATGATATTGAACGGGAGCATGTCCTGGCAGCACTGTCAACTTCCGCTATCCCTGCATGCAGGTGGCCTAGTGGTAAGGAGTTCGCTGCCAATGTAAAGACAAACAATTTAAACCCACCAGCTGCTCTGAGGGAAGAAAGATGGGCAATTTCTTCATGTGACTTACAGCCTCTGAAAACACGCTTGAGGGTCAACTGTGAGTTGGTTTTCACTCGATGGTATTCAACAACAACATTCCTTCATGAAAACCTCAGCCAGAGAAATGAGTCTGAGGAGTCAACTACTCCCTGATGTGTGAGGGCACCGCATGCGCGCTGTCTGCTCCCGGGGGAGCCCCGTTTACACAGTAGCTGAGTCAGGACGGGTACGGGATGAGTACGCAGAGAGGTGCAATGTGGGCAGTTCCTGGACAGTCTCAGACTCCACACAAAAAAGTCTCAACTCATTCTCAAAGTCAAGGCCTCAGTCAGAACCAGGTCCTGTCTTTGCTTTTATGTCAACTGGGGTAAAATATACTCTGTGGGTGTGGTGGAGAGCCACCAGGAGCCTCTGTGAGTCTGGGTCTCTGGACTACGGAATAATCAATTATAGGCTGCCTGGTTGCCCTGTCTGCATCTGGGGTCCCCAGGCCCCCCTCTGCTCCTCTCCTCAAGCATCCCAGCCCCCTCCTGTCCATGATGCTGGGAGGGTGGAAAGTCTGGTACCAGACGGGGTCTCCCCCAAGAATAAGACTCCCCTTCAGCTAGTGAGACGGAAATCAGCCCCGCGGAGCTCTCTGTAGGTGCAGCAGCAGTGACACAATCATGAGGATGAGAGCAGACCTCGTGCAGGAGGGAGTGGAGGCACCAGGTGCCCAGCACAGCACCAGCGCAGCTTTGACAGCGGCTCCTCAATGCACCAGGGAGTGCAGCCTCCAGAGAGGCCTCAGCATGACACCCGCTCGCTTGGGGTGTGCCCAGCCCTTAGGAGGAGCAGCAAGTGCACCCCAGGGGACAGCTACGAGGGAGGTGGCGCTGTGAGGCAGTGAGGGAGAGACGCTGAGATCAGGGGGCTTCAACCAAATCCGGTCACCCCAGCATCAATGTCCTCATCTTAAAAAGGGAGACATGAGCCTATCCAAGGCTGCAACTGTCAGAAAGGCGGGAGCTGCAGCTAGCTGAATGGCAGCTGGAAACAAAGGAATTTCACACACACACACACACACACACACACACACACACACACACACTC